CAGCAAACATCGTCGAATATCATCTCAGGGGATTGATTTTCATAACCAAATCGGTAACAGTTTATCATTAGATGTCTTCGGAAATCCACTTCAAGATGAGATATCCAAGAGCATAGACTTTTATAGTAATTTTGTTTAAGTCTAATCTAGACGGAGTTAAACTATAACGAATACTACTATGAACTTATTCTTTTATTATGCGCTTCAAGTGAAAACAGTTTCTCTTCGCATCCATTTCATCACAGTAACAATACAAACATATATAAGGCTTAAGGATGCCTTACACATTAAGCTACTTACCAGCAGTAGTGAAGACAGAGACCAAGGAAGGAATGTTTGTTATCGACGCATTGTACAGTAGTCATTAAATAATGTACACCTTCCATTAAGACAGTCATTTGCACATTGTGCTTCATTTCCTGCTCTGCTTCTATTTCGATTCGCTCTTAATATGCCCACATTGTCTCTTGTGTTTCTCTGGGCAGAATCCTTACCCATTAATGGTAATTGTCTATGATTTCTGCTGCTCTCTCAACGTATACTACTTTTATTCATTGTGATCAGCAACACCCACTACAATGCTACTGCCCTCTGTTCTTTATAGCACAAGCATTAAAACATTGTCATACAATGAATGTTCAGTACTATTAGTCGTACCACATTTAAATGTAATAACCTAAAAGTATCAGATTCTTTCTTTTCAATAGAAAGATCTTTTCTAAACTTCAAAACAACCGAGTATTATCTTTGTCTGGTAGCCCTAAGAGCCAAGAATATCTTTAATATTCGGACCACTTTTTTGTCTACAGTATTGATTGATTCATTTAGACGCCTACTAGTTAATTATGATTTCGGTTAAAAATTTAACCAATTAGAATTAACGCATAATAATGGTAAATCACTATTATTTGCACGTAAATATCAATGTGTGTGTGTGTGTGAAGGCTAGTGATACTACCTGACTGCCCAATCTTTGGCAACGGGAGCGGGGTTCGAACCCATGACCCGGAAGTTATCAGTCACCTGTTCAGATTAAAGAAAAGGTAAGCACACGGTAAAAACAGCTTAACACTTAACAATCCCCAAGTTTCTGAAGCTTCGATTATTCACAGGAGATTGAAACTTTCAGTGTTTGAAGAGCAAGCTGGCTGATTGCTATTCGATTCTATGCTCATTCATAATGTTTCTAAAATCAGCATAACTATTTGACTAAACTCTTTCGAACGATTCAAGTGATCATTTTTTTTACGGCGAGTTGTAAGCGGAGTCTTCAAAAAAAGAAACTGACTAGCTTTTAGCTAACAGATTTTCTGGCTATAATTACTTCCTTCAGTTGTCAGTGGATGGATGTCTAGGACTATTTTGAAGAGTAGTGTTTCTCAACAAGGAGTCGCACAACTGTATCTTAAAGAAAGGATATGAACCAACAGACACAGTCATCAGATAGAATGTTGGGGACAATTATTGAGATAAATGTTTCGCAAAAAGGTTATTATTGCTATGAAATAAGTAAAAGTGATTAAATATTGTACTGTATTATAACGGAGTATAATGGAATATACTACAGTCAATTAATGTATTTATTTTTAAAGACAATTTAGTAATAATAAGTAGTTTCATACTATTGTTTATTTACGACTACTTTTACAAAGGTAGTTTACTTCGTTGTGGCTAGCAGAGGAAACTAGGACGCGCGTTTCGTCCTATTTGGGACTCGTAAGCTGGATGTACCTGCACCCCGGTGAGTGATGTTATCCCCATCGCTTCAAGAGCCAAGGAGTCATCCGCTAGGCTATGGAGGTAAGATATCGACATGTTAGCCACAACCGAATAAACTACTCTAATTAACATTCAGGGAATATCGAGGAACCCGCATAGGAGCCCATATGTCAATACAGGTCAAACAATTCGACCCAGTAAAACAATAGAGAACAAGTATATCAATAAACAGTAATACTTTTACATAACTTTCAGAAAACGCACTGATTACTGTACCATGTAGTTTCATTAGAAAGTAATAGTCAATTAACTGTAAACAGTATTCATACTTTTGTAGGTTAAGCAGTTATTGGATTTCTATAATTGTATTACACATATAACATTCATTTGTATAAGCTCAGTATTAGCAAACAGGTTCCATAGAGAAGAAAGGTTGGTAGATAAAAAGGAATGAGGATATTTCATTTTCCATCCAGCTAACTTGATAACTCATAGACAAGTAAAAGCATAGGTGAACAAAACGATATTCGACTATTATCCTAACAATTATGCAAATGATTAATTAGACATCTATATTTTGAGGTAACGCGCTGGCCGCGGAACCTGAAGGTCGCGGGTTCGATCCCTGCTGGTGGGGTCGTGGGTGCGCACTGCTGAGGAGTCCCATACTAGTCGGACGAAACAGCTATCCAGTACTCCCAGGTTTCCTTTGTTCCTCCAACTGATGTCAGTCTTCGATGAATAACAACTTGAAATATTTCCAAATCTCCACAACTCCCTCAAAAAATCTATATTTTGGCTGAAATAGTAGTTTTTCATAAAATATAAAAACTTAACTCACTATTTCAGTAGTTGTTAGAATGATCATTAAAGTCAGTCGAATATATTCAGTTAATGGGGAGCGTAGAAAGAGAATGAATCTACAGGCTAGTCTAAACAACAACTCAGAAGTTTTTATGTCATGTTAAACTACTACTTTTGAAGTTGGAATACATAGACTCCAAGTGAATCTTAAGTCCACTTCAGCAACCACTAAAATGATCAATTAGGTTTCTTTATTTTTACTGAAAATATAGTTTTTACTGAAATAAAAAAGCTAAATTTGTTCGTTATGAAAGACTTTAACGGTTAACCTAGTAACTGATGTAATAGTCAATCAGGTTTCAGTATATCTGTTGGGACGGTAACTATTCCTAAAATAAAGAAACGTAATTGGTCCTCACAGAGGTTGTTGCTGAGGTGGCCTTTAAAGTTGAATGACTTTTAAGGCCACCTTAGAAACAACTGAAATAACCAATCAGACTACTCTATTTCATGAAAATCTACCTTTTTCTATTTAAAATGAAGAAACTTTATTGGTTATTTTGTTCGTTGCTAGGGTGGCCTTTAAAGTTATGCATTATTTCTATAGATGCTGGGATAGGCTTTAAGATTAACTTCACACTTCCTTTGTATCGATTATTAGAAGCAAATATATCAATGTATTTACCGTTCTATACGCTTAAACTGTCTGAATCACTATGTTATTTCTTTTGGCTTAGAGAATCAAACAACGCCATATGTTTAGAGAGTTACATGTTTTGATACATTAGTGAAGTGAAAATTTGTTATTTTATTTGTAGTGTGGCTTTGAAACTTTTTTGTATGTACCAAAAGCCAATAAAATATTAGTGAAGGTAAGAAAGGCATAAAGGCGAAGTAAATATGTAAAAAAAGGTGTTTCGATTTGGAAGTATATGAGAATCTATTTATCGACTTCAGGTCGGTAATCATGAACTGACATCACTCGTCCTAGTGTAGGACCTCTCAGCAGTGCGTACCCATGACCCCCTCAGGGATCGAGCCCAGGCTCCGCAGCCAGTACGTCACCATTGAATTCAATAGTCCATATTTTCAACTTCTGTCACTTCACGATGTTGCTCGACCTCTATCCGATCCCGTCGTTGAGTATCTGTCCTCATATCCGACTTGGTTGACCCCACCGGTCACGACTTCTCATTAGGATTACAGGAAATCTTATCTCGAAGCGAATCATCAGTGAGGGGGTAAGGGTCCCGCACTACTAAGGAATCCCATACTACGACAAAACAGTCGTCAAGTGCTCTCAAGCTTCCGATGTCCCTCCAAATGATGTCAGTCGGTGATGAATACCAACCTAAAAAAAGCTGTTTGCTTGGTCGGCACTATTAGAAACATTCATATTTAAGTTGTATGGTTTTACGTAATCGGTACCTGTGAAGAATAACAGTCAGTAAGGTGTATCCGCAACCCTAAGCGAACTAACCCACTTCAGGTACTTAAATCAGTATCCCTTACTGCCATTCAGTCCATATAGGATTTGATATCAATTACAAGACATCAGCTGATAAATCTAGTACGTTAATTCAATTCTAAGATAGGTCAGTAAACGTTAGAATAAACCAAAAGGTAACATTAGCAACCTGTAACATTAAGTGACACCAGCTTGAGTTCGACCTTAAATCCCCTTCCCCGAAAAAAAAACAAAGCAGCCTTGAATGCGGAATCATTTAGCTAAGTGGTTACATCACGATCAGGTCAGACATGATATAATAGATTGGGAAAGATATGTTTTACACAAGAAGCATTTCCTTATATGTAAGACTAAAGTAACCAGAAGTAATTCACACAGCGATTTTCCAAACAATTGTCACTACTCATTGGCACATTAGATACGAGATATTCGTTTTGGCGCGATTGACAAGACAGTGATGTTACGGTTACGAGAGATATTGTAAGTACCCAACAATCACAAGAAAACTAAGTGTAGCTTGAAAATAAACTATACAACAATACGTTTCAAACTTCACCGGGTCAGAGACACACCTATAACTGAATAAGAATAGAGTTTGACAGCAACTGATGGTGTCCGACCATTTTAAAAATCAATCGAAGAAACTGATGAAGTAATTTGTGTAGTTTATAACCGAACCAACCAAAAACCTACTATTCAACAAATATGCAGAAGAAAGAGGAGATGGATTGGGCATACACTGAAAAGATCATTCAGGGACATCACGCGGCAGGCTAGGTCGTCGAGTGGAACGCAAGGGGGAAACGACGAGTTGGGCGTCCGAAGCAAGGGTAACATGGAGGAGATTATGTGAAGAAGAAACGAGAGCTTGTGGGTAGTCGTAGAGCCAGGTTCAAAAGATTACAGAGAACAGAGTGCACTGGAGACGTGCTACTGAAGCCCTATGTTCCACTAGGAACCCAAGGGACAAATAATAATAATAACCGAAAAAGACAAACCTACAACTTACCAGCTACTCCCACTTGATGTGAAGCGTAATCAGGTAGTCGGCTTACACCTTCACCAAGCCAACGGACTAAAGTAGCTTCTGAATTGTAAGCATGATGAAACTTAAAACCTGGACCAAGAGGATATGGTCTACAGAGAGCCGGTACAAGTTCACAATGTTCTGATTTCAAAGTCACCCAGATAGCTTTGAAACCTGGTGGATCATTTATTATGTCATTGATATACTCTAAACAACAAAAAATTATACATGAAAGTGGACACGATAAATAGATACAAACGAATGATATTGTGTAAATCATTATTTTCATAAGAAATAATATTCAAATGTATGCCATTGAAACGATCAATTCTCTTGGAAATTTCAGTTGTTTTATTGAGATATCTATAAGTTTGAAAGAATGGTAAACGTGAACAAAGGCGCAGCAACATATGTAACAAGATGGATTATGATTATGCTGGGATGCATGTATAAAGAGACTAATCAACCAACTTTTGTAGTATTGTTTAAAGCAAAACTTTTCACCAATAGAAGATTATCTAAAATAATAAAAAAAAGATACAAAATACAGAATTATGAAAACTATGAAAATTCAAAGGTGATCGGATGAAGTAAATTTTAGTGACAGGAAACTTTTAGAACGATTTTACAGGTTGGAAATGCTGTATTCTACATTATTCATTATATCCATTTACTAAAATATACACTTCTCTCTATGTCGATAAATTATAAAATCTCTAGATTCATATGCCGATTACAGGCGGCGGCACAGATGACGACGTCAAAACCACGATCAAAAAGATAGCAAGACAGGCCTCTCTTCACTAACTAGAAATCAGTGTGATCTACTGAACTGCACTCAGCATAAAGCGTGGACAAGATCCGGATTTTCAACACTAATTCAGTCAAGTTAGTGCTTCCATGTGATGCTTGAGAGACTTGACGCATTACGAAAAGTATTTCCAACAAACTACAGACATACATCCACAGCTGCCGCCTACGCTCACTCGATACTAAAGATTAGATCAGATGGCCAGAGAGAATAAGCAAGGAAGAACTCACTCTGGCAACGAACCAACAAAGCAAGAACCCATTGCTTAACAAGTATACAGAAGTGGAGATGGATCAGGTATACACTGAGGAGACCATTCAGGGACATCACGCGGCAGGCTAGGTCGTCGAGTGGAACCCAAGGGGGAAACGACGAGTTGGGTGTCCGAGGCAAGAGTGACATGGAGGCGATCGTGTGAGGAAGAAATGGAAGCTTATGGGCATCCGTGGAGCGAGGTCCATAAGACTGCAGAGAACAGAGTGAAATGGAGATGCGCTACTGAAGCCGTATGTTCCATTTTTGTAGTGTAAACAGATCTCCGAACTCCATCTAACTGAGACAACAGAATTCTGAGGTCATCTAAATCCCAAATGGTTCCGGCTACATCGATATGCACTTAACAACCTTTTGTACATTCGTGTAATAGTTAGTGAGTCACACCTATTGTGTGAGGGCTAATGATATACGCCTGGTTGGCCAAACCCCAGTAGGTGAGGAGGTGTTCAAACCCTGGTTAAAATTCAATAATACAAGCCAACCATCCACAGCTCCACATATCAGTCGAATGCATAAAAATAGTTGAGAGAGAAACTAAACGACAAATATACCGACTCCAAAGGTAATTCAACCGTAAAACGATCTACATGTGCGGTCCAAACCATACTGCAAGACAGCCTAGACACTCATAAATGAATAGACAATCATTAATTAATAGTCCAATGCCTATAGCGATGAACCATAGACTTCTTAATTATATCATTGAAATAAATATGTAACGAGTAGGATAGTTGGAAATGAACGACTGAGCCATACGGAAGGCGGAATCAACCTGAAGTTCCTCGAAAATAGACAAAAAAGTAAAGGCTTTTTCTCCGAGTTAATTTGAACTGAGATTTTCCATATTATCGTGTATTTCAAAGAATCGAAATAAACTAGAAGTAAAAATTACAGAATACTAAGTGTATAAACAATTATTAAGTTTCATTGTAATCAGTAAGTTAGGAGTTTTCGATTGAGAAGTATTGTTTAGGGGAGCAGTTCAGGTATGGAGTTGAAGGTTCACTTCATCAAATAACTCTTATTTATAACTTCAGTAACGTATAAGGATATTTTCTAGAGATCATCAAGTTTTGAAAAACTGTTGTAAGTCTTTTCAACGCATCTACATTCGTTGAATGCTACTAGTATCCCTATTCAGAAGTGTATAGTATTGTATTGTATTCATCATCATTATCAACATAGGACCAGCCATTACTGCGTAACGGTCCAACTTGCCACACCTCATATCAGCACATCAAGTAAAAAGGCAGTGAGGCGCAAGATGAAGATAAGAAAATTCAGTCAAAACAAATATAAAGTACGAAAAAAGAGAAATGAAGAATGAGAAAGTGGTGAGATTCGGTATAGCGTCGTTAAGATGAGGATAATGTGTGTATACATCTGCGCCACTGACTTCGGTACTCAGCCATATCACCTAGAGTCTCCAGCCACTGGTTCCTCTTGTCCCGTGGACCCCAACCAACCAGTCTGCATCACCCCACATGGCTCAAACCAACAGTCAGAGACTTCACACATTGGTGTCATGCTTCAGTCTGACCACCTCGGGCCTTTTTCCAGCCTGGACCTACTTCGACCAACATTGTGTGACGAGGCAATCGGTGACTAGGCATACGTAGTACGTGTCCCAACCATCTCAGTCGATGAAGGTTCACAACCTCGTCGACTGACTTACCTTTTCTCCCCAAAACTCTACACCTAACTTCTGCATTACTCACATGGTGACACCACGGAATACGTCTTATACTACGAAGGCAACGGTGGTCAAACACCTCAAGCCTTTTTATATCTTCCACTTTCAATGGCCATGTTTCACAGCCATACAGTAGAACAGTGCGGACTGCTGTGCAGTACACGCGACCCTTAATAGACAAACGAATATCACGGCGGTGCCATAGGTGGCGCAAATTGGCAAAAGCCAATCGTATTCATCAACACGAATTATTTGTATGAGCGATGAAACTATTACAACTTAAGAATGGAGTCTTGCGATTGGCCAATCTTAAACGCAGTGTTTATCATTCAAGAAACAGTGGGAACTGTGACTAGATTAACTAAGTATCAGACTACTAACCACTTGGTCACGGACCACAAACTGCGAAACTGGCTGTTATCATAAGCCCTCACATAGATGTGACTCACAGACTATTGTATAGATTGACATCTGACTGCTGAGACAGATAAAAATAAATGTGATAATTCTACTTGAAATATTCGATCCATATTACTAAAGTAACAACGAGATCATAGAAACGCGGTTTGTCTGAACTTGATATGTTCCTCCACTGTCTCTACAATAAGCTGCGTGGTATGAGATCCCGTTATGTACTATAACTTTCTAACATTTCAGGAGAAAAACATGGTTCAACAACAGTCTGATTCAATTTAAAGTAGGCAGTTCTCTACCAAAATACGCATGACATTAGATCAACCTGAATTCAAAATCTAAACATTATGCTCAGTAAAGCTTTAGTTGATACTATCATACTACTTATATACCGTAAGTAGTTTAAAATTATCTCGAAAGGATTATTTGTTTGGTTGCAGGCCCCACTTAGCATGAAAATGATTCAAAAAATTAAAAAATATTTGTGTATTCATTTAGATGAAAAAAAACCAGTTCTAAATTAAGGTGGTAAATCTTTCAATATCTATGTAGATTATTGCATTTTTATGAATTTAATATGCAGACTTTGTTGCCACAAAGTTTTACACACATTATCGTCATTATAAAGATCCTATGAGATCAAACATTACTGCGTAACGGTCCAAGTTGCCACACCACATATCAACACATCAAGTACCAAGGCAATAAAATGGGAAGTGAAGGAGGTAAAAAAAAATGGGTCAAAGGAAGTAGAAGTGGTAAAAGAGGAGAAGGAAAAGTGCGATTAAGTATAACGGCTAGTAAGAGGATAATGTGTGTATACATATGCGCCACTGACTTCGGTTCTCAGCCATGTGATCACCTAGAGTCTCCAACCACTAGTTTATCTTCTCCCGAGGACCGCAACCGGCTAGTCTGCATCGCCCAACATGGCTCAAACCAACAGTCAGAGACTATACATTGGTGCCATGTTTTAGTCTGGTCGCCTTGGGCCTTTCTCCATCTCGAACCTACTTCGACCATCATTGTGCTTCGAAGGAGATGGTAGCTAGGCATATGTTACATATGTCCTAGCCATCTCAGTTGATGAAGGTTCACAACTGCATCAACTGTCTCACTTCAGCCTGAAGCTGTACGTCTGACTTCTGCTTTACTCATGTGGTGACACCACGAAACACGGCGTACGCTACGAAGACCACAGTGGTCAGACACCTGAAGCCTTCTCATGTTTTCTACCTTCAATGGCCATGTTTCACAGGGGTAGTGGAAAAGACCGGACTGCAGGACAGTATACTCGACCCTTAATAGGCAGTTGGATATCTCGGTGGCGGTGTCACAGATGAAAAAAGTTGGTAAAAGCCAACCGGACGTTTTGTCTCTGTGCAGAGATTTCGTTGGCCACTGACCAACTCACCAGGGCTGTGGTCTGACATCCAAAGTAAGTAAAGTGTTCAATGAACTGAATCAACTCACTCTCTATTGTTGGTCGGGATATCGTTGAAAACCAGTCCCGCAGTAATATTTTGCACATACATTAGGAGTGATTTAAAAAGTACTTGGATTCCAAAGTTAAACGCTCAGCTTAAGCATGATACCGTACATACAGGTGGGTATGATAAAACATCTATGTTAATATGAGATCACGTGGACGTGACAATTCTGTTACTAATCCACAATGAAATTCTACAAAATAGTATCGGATTTTCCCATTGTCTAGCCAACTTACGCCACCTATGGCGCCGCCATGATATCCGATTGTCTACTAAGGGTCGCGTGTACTGCACAGCAGTCCGGTCCGTTCTACTGTATGGTTGTAAAACATAGCGACTGAAGGTGGAAGACATGAGAAGGCTTCAGGTGTTTGACCACCGTTGTCTTCGTAGTATAAGACGCATTCCGTGGTGTCACCATGTGAGTAACGCAGAAATCAGGAGTAGAGTTTTAGGGAGGGCGAAGAGGTAAGTCGGTTGTGAACCGTCATCGACTGAGATGGTTGAGACACGTGTTTCGTATGCCTAGTTGCCGATTGCCTCGTCACACAATGTTGGTCGAAGTAGGTCCAGGCTGGAAAAAGGCCCGAGGTGGTCAGACTGAAGCATGACACCAATGTGTGAAGTCTCTGACTGTTGGTTTGAGCCATGTGGGGTGATGCAGACTGGTTGGTTGGGGTCCACGGGACAAGAGGAACCAGTGGCTGGAGACTCTAGGTGATATGG